TTAAATATTTTTCTTTGGCGTCGAATCGCGTCCCGTACAAAAGTGTAACACATAATTCAAGCTGTTGAGAGTAATGTGTCTGTAGTTCGATTCAACAACAATCGTCTGTTCATATAAAAAACAAAAAAATGGAACATAAATAATAGTGACTTCTTTCTTTATATTTATATATTATAAATTACAATTTTTATATTTATATATTGTGAATGATAATGAGATCGTTAAAACACAGGAAACAAGAGTTTAAGTTTTCGGATTTGTTGTCGGATCAAACTGCTCGTTCAGATACATTTATGCATTAGTATGTTGTAATTATGCGAGTACACGTTTTTATGTACAGACATACATACATACGTACACGCAGAAATGCATACGGCTTGTCTATCTTTAATTTTTACGCACCATTTATATATATTACGCGCACATGTTTAACGTAATACAGTTGCTGAAGAACCACGGATATGTACAACAGGGATATGCCCGATCGATATTGTTTCGCTTCCGCTTTCGTACGCAAGCACCAATGTTCATCTGGCTTAATTCAAAAGTCGATCGTCGTATTCATAATTTCGTTCCGAACACGACCAGTCTTTCACTCCTCGTCTCAACGCAGGATAATCTTGTCGTGTAAAAGTGTCCACAGTCAACTAGACGTTAGCCGTTCCGATATCGCATCCATTTCAATAGTTTAATAGTTATTTTCAACAATACATAAACAGTTGCAATTCGCCAGTTGCGCGCGATCTATTAAACGATAATAGCGCTACCTTTACGCACCTTTATAGTTTTGCACGAACGATTATTTCTACAATTCGAAGTTTCAAGTTGATCGGAAATTGGAAAGCGCCTAGAAGTTTTCTGCAATAACAATGCACAATTTGTTCAATCGCAAATACTAGGTCGTGTCTTCCTGTAGATCTCGTCGAATCGCGATTATTCAAACCGATGTTGTTTCTCTCTTCGCTTGTTTCTTCGTCGACGAAAAGAAATTTAATACTGCATCGTTCACGTTGAAGGGGGCCCTTCAGGGCACTCGTTCGAAAATATGCTTAACGAGTATGGTCCCAAAAGTTTTTTACTAAAATTATTTGTAAAAATGTTTTATATGTTTATTTACATGTAGACTTTTATCCTCAACAATGTCAATGATATATTAACATAGCACTTATTATACTGTTTAATTATTATAAGTTCCAAAGTGGTCGCATGCATTTTTCTCTCGACATTATACCCAACATTATTAGGTACTTGAAACGAGGACGTGATCTATTAAAGAGTTTACGTTGTAAAACACTGAAGAGAATACTATATCTATATTTTATATTTTGCATCTGGGGATATCATTTTTCTTTTTCGTCAATTATTTATCATCTGAATGTAACGAAATTCATCCTACGACCTGTTACTACTTACTACTAAAAGAATCGTTCATGAATATGTCATCTTACCTTCGTCTCTTTCTCATATTTTACACACTGGATACGATTCCAGTGTGATGTATAATTACTTCGTATAGCGCTTTCTTAGTGATCGTTGTCGATCATAAACATCAATTGTTGTTAATAGTGTATGAAGGAATATTCTATTTATACCTCTTTGTCATTATTATTAATACTAATTTACCAATCGTCGAACAGTTTCCTCTTTTATGGACAGAAGACAGAAAACTGCATCAAGTAATACGATTTTGTGTAATGAAAAATTGAATGAAAACGTTTTTAACTGATTAGGATTATGACGCACTACGAAATGGATGTGAATCTATGTATGCATAGTGAGAAATTAATTAAACAAGTCGTTCGGTGGTAAATTTTTATTTCCTCATTTGTGTGTTGTGTAAAGAAAGCATAATTCATAGTTTCTGAATTCGTTTAATTTGGCACGTAATTGTAGTATAATAAATATATTCGAATAGGTTTTCAGAATGATGCGAAAACGATGTACAATTTCAATGTAGGAAGTTGGAATACCTGTATGAGTACGGTTTGTTTTTTACAAATTTAATTGGGGACGGGAAACATAACTGAGTTTTTCTAGGAACGATCACTGTTTTTATGCTACTTCTTGAAGTCACTTCTTCCAGCTGGTTACGTTACTACTATTCGGCGAGGACTTAACAAAACCATCGACTATTTGATGAATCGTACATGCGATCAGTATCACTATTATTTCTTTCTAATGGAATAGAACGTAGTTCCGCCTTATAAGTTACATACTCTCAACAAATCGTTCGGAATCAGCCGACAAGAAGAGACTTCCAAGCATGAGCGTCGTTACGATCGCTGCGAGTCAATGAGAAACCCTAAGAAAAAGACTTTAACCCTTGAATCGATCCCAAATTGACGCACGATCGTAAAAATAAAAATATATCTTTTATTGGAAATAAGAAAAGTCTCATTGATAATTAATTTTAGACTCAAGGGATGAATCAGGGTTAAAGAATCTTTTTACCTTATAATAAGCAAGGTGATTATAATTATACAAGCGGATGTTCATGTAATTAATTTCATGTTTTTATAAGGTTTCTGGATACATTTCTCCATTACGGTGTACGAATTCCGTATTTCCCGTACGTTTGTTTAAAGTATTGTGAATGTTTAAATGCACAAACATCCGCAACACGAACTCGACTTTAAACAAATTTGCTAAACGTCGAATTCTGGTATAATACGTTCTTGTGGCTACACGCTCGAGTCCGTAGCGACGCAGATGCTTCTGAAAAGTTGAATGATAACAAATAGATGGGTTCAAAGAGTTAACTACCGACGTGTAGCATTTCCGTTCTACCGTTCGAAAGACGTCCGTTGTAATCGATGAATATCGTCGATGCGGGGGTTTAGCTCGAGACTCAAGGAGCATCGAAATTAATTACGACAATTAATTATTGTTATTAGTAGCCCTTGTTTGTTTTGCTTCTATATACAGAATGGGTCCATGATTTCTTGCTGTACACTACATGATGATTGATATTCTTGTGTGTGTGTGTGTGTGTGTGTGTGTGTGTGTGTACTGTGTATATATGTAATATATTATTATTTGTTTGTTATAAATGTTATTTACCGTCGTATTAAATTGTTTAAGAAAATTGTACGTATCGAAACGAACGAAAGTAACGTTAAACAACACGTTCAATTGACAGATGTATCTAGTACCGTATAAATACTTATCAAAGCGTAATTGATATCAATTATGTAAGTATTTATATGATACACATTGTACTTGGAGTTTTATCTTGTATTTTGATTAATAATCGTTTAAAATTTCTTCAAAAACTGATAAAACGATTCTGTTCATTTTGGCTTTAATTAATTGTTTATTACGTTACACATAAAAGATTTACACTTTTGTAAATAGATATGTCATCGAGAGATAATTTACTAAGAAAGTTTTATCAAAATGACATTTGTACCGATTTTTCGATATAGTCGTATTCTTCAATTTTTATAAAATTGATATTCAAACATGTCTGATTCTCCAATAAGCAAATAAGAGAGCGTCTTACGCACGGTGCGATTAAGAAAAATAAAATTTCAATAGTTGTAAATAAAATTTGTCAACAGTATATTAACATTATCTGAAGTAACGAGTGAAGTATAAAAATTGATTTTATCAAGGCTATCTTGAAGCGTTCGTTCTAGCTAATGGAGATCGCTTTAGAAAATCTATTACATTAGATTTATACATATTTAAAATAACTTCTTTTCAAGGTATAAATATTTTCAACAATATATGTACAATTCGTTCATCTTGTAACTGAAACGAACGAAACTCTCTCATTCTAATTTTTACTAAAATTTGATAACGATAATTTGTTTTTCTATTGCCAACCCTTAAATCAGCACTGTATCATGCGCGAATTAATTTATCCTTTCGGACAATTGTTCTTCACGCGTCACGTTACTTTGTGGTCTCGGGATCGTTAGATATATTCGAAAAAACAGGTAAAAGACGAATGAAGGAAGTGGTGTCCAAAAATATATTAAGAAGCGCAGTGACGCCACGAAACAGATTAAAAAAACTCGTATGTACGTGTAATTCTGGAAACGGCACCTGTGCAGTGCACAAAACTTTCCCTTAGGCAATATTTATTTTTAAAGTTCGTTTCAACAACAATTCTTATGCATCGATTAAAGATTGTTATTTAAACCATATTGCAATAGATAAAATTTGTGTGTTTTAATGGTTGGTACATGCCGTTCCTAGAATCAGATTTTTAGAAGAGGACGTGTCGAAATTGTCAGTTCGTTGAAAACTATAAAATTCGTTAGGATTATGTGCATGGAAGACGAAGGATAATTATTATTCGTGGCGTCCCTGGTCCGTGGTACATATGTAGACTTGCTCTTTTTTTTTATACTATCCCACTTCTAATTATTTGCACTTATTGTACGTTATACCGAATTATACCGTGAAAATTAGGCAGAGGATTTCGACGACAAGATCGAAACCGAGTATGCGTGTACGTGTATGGGGGTGCGCTGTCCTTTAAACGATCGGTACGGTATTTAAAAAATGAAAAACGGTCGACACTCCTTGGTCTCATGTTTATAATAATATACAAGTATACTCGCTTTAACAGATCACAGGGTTGGGGAGGCAATGATTTTTAAAATTAACATTTTTCGTCTACTCCTTTCATTTCTCTCCCTCCTTCTCTCTTCTCATTATCAACAATATAGTAATAAACATGTTATACCTGCGAGTAGCAATACTCCACGCGCGTTTTGAGATCTCTCGCTTCTCGTCACAGAAAAATCTGATCTTGATGTTTGATTAGATAATAATAATAATAACCGAGAAAGATAATGCAATATGTACACGTATCGTGTCCTCTCGTTAATGAACAGGTAAACGAGGTATGTACTCTGTACCGGTACACGTTAGATGTTCGACTAGAATAGAATGATCCTTGCGTCGAATGACACTCGCACGCAATTGATGGGAATCACAGATTTCTATATAATATATACATTTAGTATATTATATAGACGCCTGTGGGGAATACATATACATGGAAATAATACTGCTTCTTCTTTATTCTTTTGTTCGTTAATTAAACGTTAGCTGCAACAAGTTTTAATTCACTCTTAAAACTTTAATTAATAACTCCATCGCGACTTCAAAACGTTGCCTTATATTTGTATATGCATTTCTGTTAAAATGATGTCTGCTTAATTCTGAACGAGTTCAGCGTAACATTCATAATTATGTAATTAGGTATCATCGTTTCGTCTGAGATGTACCTGTTGTCGTACATCGATGATAGAGCTTGACTAGACGTCTCATTCGTTATCTTTACGTATGAACTACGTACATATTTTGCACTCTGCATATCTCTGAATTGTTACTTAAAACGTATACCGAATAAAATAATAATTACTGACGGCGTACTTCGTTCAAAAGTTAGCTTAGACGATAATTTAAAAAGAAAATTACGAGAGAGCAAAAGGAAATAGTTTATTGTCATCAGATGATTCGAAATTATTGTTCAAAATTTATTATGACATCTCGTATTTTAATAAATAATCTCTTGATATCTAGAGGAATATTGTTTTGCTAATTTTAATTGGACTGATTGAGTATCGAAAACTGTACGATAGAATAGAGTAGTAAGAATAAAGAAACTTCTAAGAACGAGTCAGGTACTTAAAGTGCAAGCGTTAATCACTCGAAAGACAGGTGGAATTTTTCTAAACAAGAATCAGGTACCGCAATGAGTTGTGTCCACTCGAAAATTGCTATTTGGCTATGTCCGTAAAAAAAATTAACTGGCTTGTGCTCTTCTCCGTGAGCATTTCTTCGTTAAAATGTATTAAGTATAAATGTACATTATAAAATATATTGTATAGATTAGAAAATATATAGATGTGTGGAGAACGAAAACGCGCGAAGATTTTTTATGACTTAATTCGTATTCGAACGAACCAATTTAACAAAACCAAAGATATACTTGTATCTTTTGAGAGTCTCCTAAGTTTAATTTTGTTCAAAGAAACTTATTCCTTTGGAAATCATTAAAGCAGTATCTTTACACTTCTATACTAGAATGACTAGAGACATGTAAAATTACAAATTATAAACAATCAAATAATAAAGATTAAGTCTATAGTTGTGCGTAAAAAAAAATAAAACTTAAACATGAACATGCGAATGAGTTCATAAAAATGTAATGACGTACAGTCAGTTAAAAAAAGTCACCGTACATTGTATCAGCATAGTTTAATCCTGCGCGATATTTATATTTCATTTTAAATCATGCTGCGTACGATTCAGAATTTAAATATGAAATACTTTATTGATTTTTTTACCGGCTGTACATACGATTATCTGCGGTAGGACAACGTGTATCGTATATCTATAAGCAGTTCAACTTCAAATATCTAATTGTAAGATATATATTTTACAATACTACGTCCAATCAAACTCCGCATCAACCGATGATACTGTTTACTCTGCTAACCCGAGTTCTCTCATCAAGCATCGGTTCAGAGACCCAGATTATGCACAATTATCTAAGCAGTGTCGAGTTCAGTTAGGCATTGTTATCATTTTACGTCGTAATTATTTCAATCGCCCAAATGACACGAGCGGTCCACGAGGTGTCTTTGTTTTAATAAGTCGCTTCAAGAGTATCAACTGATCTGCACTCACCTCGAATGCAGTGAATTACCGCAACTTACGATTGGTTTCTCCGAGCGGCGAAGATCGATGTAATCGACGTCGCCCTTGACTGCCACTATGACTTCCACACCCTCAATTTCCTTAAGGATACCTTCTTCAGATGAAAAGCAGCGTTTAGAATATCTGATTCACGGCTATCTTCGCCGTCGGAGTGGACCTCTCTTCTACGGCCGTGCATCAACAAACGATGTCTAAGTCCCCTGGACGTTGGGTCTGACAGCGCCTCCGAGACAGGCACTTTCTCCTTGCTGGAACCGGGCAAGGATACCGATCTGCCCACGGAGAAGCCTTTGCTCAGTCTGTCCAAAGTGGCCGGCAGCAAATGCCGCTTCGGTATGGCCTGTTCCCTCTCCCTCAAGATGAATCTTCCGAGCGTCTTCCAGAAGGCCTGGGTGCTGTACACGTTCTCGTCGTCACGTAAGACCCTCAGTTGTCGATTACCACTGCCAACGGCACCGGTTCCGCCCCATTCGAGTTCTTCGACCAGCGCGAACTTCATTGGATCTTCCATCCTTCTTGCTTTAACCAGTGCCTGTGCCAAGACGTCTTGAGCGGAGCTGCTCACGGGAACGCGTAGTATAGCATACGGAATATCCGGCGAGACGTTGTAAATGCAAACGAGGAAAGTATCGGCTTCGTCCCAAATATGTGTCGACGTATCCCTCTCGGAATCGAGCTTAGAATGACCGGCCGTACTCCTGATGGAAGCTAACCAGGCTCTACTGCTCGGATCGTCGCCGACTCTCTTCAACAGGAAACGACCCTGTCCCTTCCACAAAGCCTGAGCTTGCAATGGGTGTTCGGACGGATCCAGTACGCGTTGAGTCGGCAATTCTTCCCTGTCTTTTTTCTCCCAGCCCCGGGAGACTTCCTCGACCAAAATATACTCGTCCACGCAGTCCGGTGATTTCCCAGCTTTCTGGAGAGCTTGCAGCATCACCTCGTGCGTAGTGCTATCCTGAGTCACCTTTAGAATGGTGTAAGGCTCCTCGGGTATCACGTGATAGACCATCAGAAAAAACATTCTCCTTTTGACGGTCACTCCGCCCAATCCGGGATCGACGGTAGTCAGTTTCTCCGGTTCCTTTCCTGAAGATGGTCGCTTCGACGACTCCTTGTGATCGCGGCAGCAAGTGTCGTAATCGAGGCTCTCCTCTTCGAGTCGGGAGTAAATGAACAGCGTGGAAAGTGCCAGGGCTCTGTTTTTAGATGAACGCAACCGCACGTGCCTGTAGCCAGGCCTCAGGCATTTCAACGGGATGACTCGTTGGGCGATCAGATGATGGGACGAGGCTTCGACGATGCCGAAACGAAGAAACGCGAGATCTTTGAACATCACTTGGAAGCAGAATTTCTCGTTCCAGATCGGGTTCAAAGCGTTGTTCTGTATCACCTTCGTTTTGTGCTTCGCGCAATCGATCGGGATGCCCACCAGCTCAATCTCGACGTACGTACTGGCGACGAAATTCGTCGGCGATACATACTGTCCGGAAATTATCGACAGTGTCAAGTGCGCCGAGTGAAGACCGTCGAATTCCTTGTCCCAAGGATTGAAACGCCTGAAAATCAATATCACGTTCCATTATTTAAATGTATATCGCTGCACTGTTTGTGTTAAATAGTATTAAAAACTATAATCAGGAATAGTTAAGTGAATAAAAATGGTATATCTAGTAGACTGGCCTGGGAGTATTCTCAGTCCATTATTCGGTACATATTACGAAATTATGAATAAGTTCTAGAGGAATGAATAAAATTTTTTATTGGAAAATTATTCTAATTTATGAAAGATTTTCATGCAAGATACTGATTAATACATACCTGTACATCATATGCCCCTTATCCCACATAACAGACGGCTTCCTGACGTATCCGCATTGTCCAGTTTGTTCGAACATCGCGGAATTCAAATTCAGTCCTGCGTCGTCGGTTTGATAATTTAACGCCACCATTTGAATCCCGAAGGCCCAGAAGATCACGGGGTTGAAATTTGTGGAATCGATTCGCATCGCAGCAGGATATGTGCGTATTAATTGCGTCTCTGCGTGAGCAACAACTCCTAAAGGTTGCTTCCTGCATATTTTCTTTGCCGTATTTTCATTCAAAGAAGAACACTGGAAACAAGCTGGGACGCCGCGGGTGAATCTGAAATAATTCATAATTCCTCGATATTGTATAGACTATATACGGT